TATAAAAAACGCCGACTCAACAGCACACCCTGTAAGCACCACATTCACCACAGTCAAACCAGAGAACAAAACGTCCCATGAATCTGATCCCAGTTTCGTCCCAAACCCGGTCCTCATAGCCAGCTCTGTCTGTGGCCCCATAGTTGGCATTGGCCTGATTGTTACCAGCTTTCTCGTAGTCTGGTACAAGAGGAGGGCCAACATTCCTCCTCACGTCAGCACACAACTTGCCTTACAGCCTAATCATGTGTACGAAGACGTTGACACTCAGAACTTGCCCCCAACAAACGAAGGCACAGTTGGAGGCAAACACATTGAGGATCCAAATGTTGCCTTGACTGAACGCAACATAAACACTATAGTTACTACTGCACATGCAGTGGCCGGGCATCATGAGTATAAGGATGTGGACCAACATATCCAGACAGGGCAGGGTCAGTCTCAGGCCATCATTGAGTCTAACACAAACATCACAGCTACTGTAACAACCAGAGATCATGATCACCAGTATGAGGATATGAGCGAACATGATCAGACAGGGCAGGGTCAGTCTCAGGCCACCACAGGGTCTAACACAAACACTACAGCTGCTGATGTAGTAGCTAGTGGTCATTGTCATGATAAATCACTTGATACTAGAAATGTAATATACACTACAGAGGAACCTGCCTCAGAGTCTAACCCTGTGTACAAAACATGTAAAGATGATCAGACAGATCAGGCCCAGAGTCAGAATAACACTGATGACACGATGGACACTAGAAATCTAATATACACCACAGAGCAGGCTGCCTCAGAGTCAGAACATAATCCTGTGTACAAAATCCAAAATGATCAGACTAGTCAGGCCCAGAGTCAGTTTACCTCTTTACACGAAACTGTTAAAACAACATCAAAGAACCCAAAATATGAAACTGCAGGTGCCGAACCTGATGAAAACAAGGCACTTGTACCACATAACAGAAACATACGTCATGTTTCCCCAAAACATCAGTACGAGTCTCTCCAACCTCCCTCTTCCGGTATAAATGCTGATCCTCTGTCAGCTGACTCACAACCTCCTTTGTATGCAGATGTGGATTCATCACGAAAGAGCCCCAAACCACTGAAAGAACCAGGTCTTAAGAGCTTTGATGAAAATAAGAGCTTTGGAACAGGCGGTAATATTACACCCAGTAAAGATGAGCCTCCCCCACTCCCACCCCGTAAAGATACTGATGCCCTGTCAGTTCATTTGTATGAAGACGTGGACTCTCCACAAAAGCGCCTCAAACCACTGAAAGAATCAAGTCCAAAGAGCTTTGGAAAAGGCGATAATGATACACCCAGTGAAGGCGAGCCTCCTCCACTTCCACCCCGTAATGATACTGATGCCCTGTCAGTTCATATGTATGAAGATGTGGATTCACCACGAAAGAGCCCCAAATCACTGAAAGAACCAGGTCTAAAGAGCTTTGATGAAAACAAGAGCTTTGGAACGGGCGATAATAATACACCCACTAAAGACGAGCCTCCACTCCCCCCACACCGTAAAGAAGATCCCCTGTCAGATGATTCCCAGCCTCATTCGTACGAAGATGTGGACTCACCACAAAAGAGCCCCAAACCATTGAAAGACCCAGGTCTAGATCTTAAAAGCCTTGATAAAAATATGAGCTCTGGAACAGCCGATAATAATACACCAACTAAAGATGAGCCTCCTCCACTCCCTCCACATCGTAAAGATGCTAATGCCCCGTCAGCTCATTTGTATGAAGATGTGGACTCTCCACAAAAGAGCCTCAAACCAAAACATGCAGGTTTTAAGAGCTTTGCTCAAAACAAGATCTTTAAAACAGGCAATAAGAATATACCTACTAAAGAAGAGCCTCCTCCACTTCCCCCACACGGTATAAAGGCTGATCCTCTGTCACCTGTCTCCCAGCCTCATTTGTACAAAGATGTGGACTCACCACAGAAGAGTCCCAAACCACTGAAAGAACCAGGTCTTAAGAGCTTTGATAGAAACTTGAGCTTTGGATCAGCTGACAAAAACAGACCTACCAAAGATAAGTCCGCTATAAATGTGCATTCTAAGAAACCAGATGATAACGATGAAGAGCAGCACAACTACGAAAATCATGACCTGAAATAGCATGGCAGTTATTTTTGCCTGACCAGTTGAGATTTAAACTTATGATTTTATGTTCTTATAGTATGTTCTTACCTTAATATGATGGTAGAATTTAAGACAGTAATGTCTGTTCAATGTACATACTACCTTACTTGAAGAAGAAAAGTATATTGTACTTTTGAATTAGTATTATGTTTAAAAGTTCATTGCTCAACAGGTGCATAAGATTGCAAATTAAAGCATGAAACATAACTTCTCCACATGAGATTATGTTTATAATGAAAGCTTATTATGATTATTAGGTTAAGTAATATTTACATACTATCAGATTGTAAGTAGAAGTAGTCCTAATTGAATATAATATATATAATATAATATAATATAATATAATAATATAATATATAATATAATCATCATGAAGGGCCTGAAGGGGTCCTTGAAGTGACTTCATGCTTTACGAACCTCGTTTAGACCCTTCATGATGGTGATGATGAACATGAAAGTTTGTTTCATCATCTATAGTATTGCACATATTTGCAGCTGTGTGTGTGCGTAGTGTGTGTGTGTAGCGATAGTGAGTGAGTGAGTGAGTGAGTGAGTGAGTAAGTGAGTGAGTGAGTGAGTGAGTGAGTGAGTGAGTGATAAAGATACATCATATGGTATCAAAAGAATTGAAGTAAACTTTAAATCTTTACGACAATACTATACTGTAAAATTGTTGCTTTTAACAAAAATACTAGAAGGAACTCATTTCATGTATCTAAAGAAGTTCTTCTCCTCCACCTGGTCACCCCAGGCTCATATAACGTGCTTTTTGTGATGTTGTGCTCAATCTAAGACAGGAGGGGAAGTCTTGAGACATTTGATCACAAAACTTTACCCGTAGTAGTACATGTGTATACTTGTATTTACTGTAATGGAAAAATGAATATGTAAAAATTTCACTGATGAAGAACGTTGGAATGGCACTTGAAACGTCTGACTATTAAAATCTTATGTCCAGTGGAAAGGTTTGAAACACTATTTTTATTCACTTGTGTGGCTGTACAGGATGTCCAGTACATTTCGTATCTTTATGTCCGCAAAGATATCTCCAGAGTATGTTTTCGATCCCCCAAAAGTGTTGCACTGTTATTTTATCGTGTTTTGCTGTTTCTTTAAGTCATTTGAACTTGTGGAATACCAAAGAAGCGATGGTTTGGTAGCTAGCTAAGGTCCTGAAGACCAAAGTCACCATCAAACGTCGTTGCACAGCTCGGGGCACACAAAGGAGCGCCATCCAGCGGTTGATTTACTAAGTGCAACCCAGGCAACCGCCGCCACAAATACTTAGTAATTTCAAGGAGCTTCAACAGAACGTTCTTTGTAATTTCAACAAAAAATATCTATACCATGACTTCACGGCCAGCTAGTGGTAGGCAAAAGGTGGGTGACGGTTGGTTGATTTGCCTATAACAATGGTTTCCATTTGTGTTCAAAAAATTTCCACGTATAGGCTGTAAACAAAAACAGCGATCGCTCGAATTCTGTTGCCTTCTTTAGTCTTCATTTCATTGCCATACGTTCACGGGTCAGTTAGAATAGTCATGAGAATATAGAGAACAACGTTAAGTAGAACTTACCACCTATAATTGACGCATCGCGTCTTCTAAGGCGAATTTTAACCGTGGAGTTCTGCTCTTCCCAACAGTCGCCATCTTGCAGTGGCGAGTCCTAACACCTGTTCACAAATCACTGGAATTTGCTTTTTTTCTTGATTAACTGCAGATGACCCCAGAATTAGATTAATCATAACATTATTTCTCGTCTATCAGCCGGAAAGGTCTGACGTTTGGTCACTATTTAAGAGCATCTGTACTTGACCATCATATAAATTTAATGTCTTTAAAGTTACGAATCAAGAATGACGAAAGAGAGTACACAAATACGACACATGACTACTCATACATCGATAGAACATATATTGAAATTGATTTTTTATTAATTTTATACAAAAAATTACACAATCGGCATAGTTGGGACTAAAGAATAAGGTCTTTTAAACTGCGCGTGCGCAGTGTCGTTCCTTTTGGGTGACGTGACCTTACACATGCGCAGTTCAAATCGTGAACTGGTTCATACCTTTTTCATGATGTCTTAGAATGATAATAACAAAATAAAATTATAGTAAACGCTCCTAACATTCACATGGCTTCGTGTTGGTTACTGCGATTATAATTCTATATACCTTTCACAAATCTTACATACACTTGAGGCACATTAGAGGTATATAAACTACAGTACCTATCGGTTAGCCCCATGGACTTACCATTTAAGACATCATTAAAATCTTTAAACACATGTTTCCGATCTCTTTCTCATTTCATTTCCGTGTATTACTGTGTTTATATGGTGTTAGGTAGTTGTATGGCGGTGTGTGGAAATAAGAAACACGTTCAACATGCCCCTCAACATCTGTTTGCAGATGCTAATATGCTTAATGCTAATATATGATAATCAGTTCACAGGTTCTTCCGCCGTATAGTTATATTGTATTGTCCGAAATTCTGGCTTGCGAAATCTATATAGTATACGTCATGGACGTTTGAAATGCAGTAATGTGTTTTACTGTATATGTGTCTAAGAATCTCGCTGTACAGGTGCCATCTGTGGTCAAAGAATAGGGAAGAATCAAGATTATGTCAAGATTTCTTTAAGACTTTTCGACAGGCATGGTTTCATAAGTACAGGTAGCCTCTACCAGGCTTCAGGAGCGACTGAAAAGAGTAGAAATTGGCCAAATAGACAGATAACAAGCCACGGGAGTTGGTCTCCTCTTCAAGAGTGCAGTTTGCCCTCCCCTGGGATGTTATCTCTCTATGTGGCCAATGTCTACTCTGCTCCCGAAGTCTTGTAGAGGCTAAAGTACAGGTACGCTTGCTGATATAGTCCAAGTCTTATTTCCAGCAAGTCATCGGTTGAGATACAGCCAGTAGACGAGGTTGAATATGAGGAAGGCGACGGGAAAGAAAACTTTACAGAAGTCGTCGATTTTGTTGTTGCTCTCCTCTGCCGGGTTGAACGGTGGACGCGGAGTAGGAGTTAGCGGCTGTACAGGCTCGGCTGGGCACGGCGGCTGGATGTTGATAACGGTAGACAGACAGGAGGGTGGATCTAGCTTATCTTTGTGCAAAGGGCTGGAGTTCTGGAGCTGCATCTCGTACTGTGGCGCGGGTGTGCTGTTGTTGGGTGGGTTGGTGTCTGTGAGTTTGCTTGGGGTGGCGGGCTGGTTCTGCTGGGCCTTGAGGGCCTTGCGCGCTGCGCGCATCTCTCGCCTGGTGGCGTGGTTGACCACGGCGTACTCAAGCAACGCCGCGAACACGAACGCCTGGCAAGCCGCCATCCAGATGTCCATGTTCGTGATGTAAGATACCCTACGGCAGGAAAGATATAATAGAGTATTGATTGAGGTACCCTTGTTCGTGACGCTTTGGAAGTTACAAGTTTTACTGAGTGACGTGTGATGTGGTGGTATTAACCAACGTCCCTTCCGAGAGGACGTCCCTAACTGAAGCTATAGTTCTAATCACGTCACTGATTTCACTGTTCAGTAAGGAGAGTTTTAGTGCCTTTTCTAAAGCCTATTAAACTCCCATCGTGTGTCCCTAATCTCCCTGCAGATGTAGGGATACGGCCGCAGTCAGTCTTACTGTTTCACGCTTGGTTTTGCAATATCTAGTACGTATTTCTAGAAGATTTACCTCTTAGCTAGAAACCTACGTGCAATCATGCAAAATCACACGTAAAATTAAATGTGGAGTCTAAGCCAGATCGTCACATCTTCTGGAAGGTTTTTACCTTGGCATGTGCGCACGCGCAGAGTTGCTGTGCGTGGTGAGAGTGAGGACCGTGGTGATGGCCAGGGCGACTCGCGCAGGCGCAGACGTGCTGTGGATCCAGAAGGAGATCCAGGAGATGATGACGATAAGGATGCTGGGAAGGTAAATCTGGATCAGGAAGTAGCCGATCCGCCTCTCCAGGATAAACTCGCCCTTAATACAGGGGAACGCACCTGGGGAGACAGGGGGAGGAATACAGGAATCAACTAGAAGGGTAATATTTGCAAAGCAAATGAACTTACCATCACATGGTCTAACATAACAATTTATTACTTGTTTATTCTTACTTAAACACTTTCATATCATATACATGTATCCATATGGTGACCAATTTTATAAATATGGTGACCAGCCCCTCCAAGTTGAAGTTCAACGCTGTCCTACCACTTGTTACATAATGTAATAGGTGCCTGCTACAGCACCAGTTACCATGTTGACTGCCGTCTGGTCCAGGACATTGACCTTTTTGGTTGGTGAAGAAGAAGAGGACGAAACATAGCGCATATATATATATAGCAAACGCAGTATGTTTCCTTCTGTGAAGGTACAAGTAGCAGATAAGGTAAGTATAAGTGATCCCGAACCTGTAGTATACCCCGCCGTGCAGCCCATCAGCCCGTTGACGCGCAGCTCGTAATCAGGCAGCTTCACCTCCTCCGATATCTCCAGCGCCTTGTCGTTCTGCCACTCTAACGTCATGTCGTCTGTCGTGTAACTGTCTGAGAAGTAACATGAGAACTTTTAACAGGTTACTGTCACTAGACATCTAGCGCAGGTACCACCACGAACTGCTAAAGTAAACTTTTTACCTCCATTTACGGCGGTTTTGTTTTCTGCTAGTTTGCCTGGTTTGTGCCCTGAGTCATAGGAAGAGAGGAGGAAATTGTGTAACCCGGAGACTGACAGAAATGTCGAATTGGGGGGTCAAAATGGTCTCTCTGTAGGCTAGGACGAAGTGACTTTTACGGTAGAGGGTTGTATGTGAACAACACTATTAATTAAATGAATAAAACACAAGAAATTCACAAATCGGAGGTGCGAAAGCTACGACTTCTTGTTAAATATGTCTTATCTACTTACAGCTCTCTATGTGGATTCTGCAAAGTTGTTTGTCGGTTGGGAAGTTTCCGAGATGCATGTAGCAGGACAGGGTCAGGGTCAACCTGAAACATAGAACAGGGTAGGTCAAATTCAATCTGAAAATTTAGAACAGGACAGGATAAAGGTTAACTTAGGGAAAATGGAATCAAGGTAAACCTGTAGCAAGCTTCGGTTGAATCATAGAACAGGCTAGGTCAACGTTCAGTTCAGTTCAGTTTTTATTCGCACTTTAAAACAAAATACAGACACAAGAAAATATAAATGAAATGTGACAGTGCAGGGAGGCCGGAAGCATAAAATGCTTATGAGGAGGCCTCCCTTCATAACTTAATTAACAATTCAAATTAATCGGATAAATAAGAAATAACTTACTAGGTAACGGGTAAATGAAACAAAACAATAAAATACAATACGATACAATACTATCTACAATAATGAAAAGTAGTAATGAAAAGTAGTAAACAAGGAAACTTAAACAAAAATTAAGAATGTGTGGGGTTATTTATGAAAGTTGCTTTAGTATGATTTTTGAAAATGGTGACGGAGGGACTAATTTGTAAAGTTCTACTTAGGTTGTTCCAAATTGTTGGGCCTCTGTACGTGATTGTAAATTGACGAAGATTCGATTTCGCATTGGATGGCCTTAGATAATTGCATTGACGTGTAAACTGGTTGTGGATGTCTGAGTTTAATAAGAAGGTGTAGGTGTCGTGGAAGGTTTCAGGAAGGCAAGGACATTTATTCATTATCTTGTACATTAAAAGACTTGTTTGTAGTTTATTTATGTCATTTATGGACAGTATTTTGAGCTTTTTAAACAATGGTGCAGTAGGGAAAGTGAATGAAACTTTTGACGCTATCCTGATGTATCGTTTCTGAAGCAAAAAAAGCGGTTTAAGTGATGTAGTGTATGTACTTGCCCATATAATATTACAATAACTTAAGTAAGGATAGATAAGACTATAATAGAGAGTGATAAATGTTTTAGGAGATAAAAGATTTCCTACTTTCCGTATAATACCAATGTTCTTGGATATTTTTTTACTAATAAGATCGATGTGATTTTTCCATGTTAATTTTGCATCTATTAAAACGTCAACCTAGCTATTCAAACAGCAGGGCCAAACTCAACCTAAACAGGTGACAGGTTAAGTTTAGCCTGAATAGGAAATGTTTAATGCCAAACATGACCAATGGCAACTGGAAAAAACACAAATTACTTGCTAAACCAGGTTATCTGCGGTTAATGAGTCTATGATAATATTAAGACAGAGAAATGTAATGCAACGAGGTGAATAACCTTAGCTTTTATCTTAACACTGTAACCTTTTTGTTACATGGCAAATTAGATCATAATCATCACTAAGATATTATTACCTTTATGATGTTTACCCTTATGAACTACTTACATCGCATCAACGCATTTTTATTTCCAGATTCCTAAAGTGATAAGCACCATTGTGGCATCATTAGATCCGACAGACTGGCTACATCACCACTCTTATTAACTCTTATAATTACATTTATTCCACCATTGACTGGATTAATGCCAATTACTGGTAGCAACGGATCTAATAAAGGATAAAATAACAAACGTAATTACCAATTATAAGTTGTAAATGTAACGAAGCGGTACTAATTTAACGTCAACACAATTTATAAAGCGTAACGAATGTTGTAAAAACAAGGAAGACAGGGTAAATATATAAACTGTATTTGTTTGCCCCTTGGGAAAGTTTTATCACGAAGTAGCAGGTCGTAATGAGAATATATTCTAATAAAATTATTAACTATGTCCTAATTTATTGTTTGGATTAGCTATTCGTTCATACATCATTTCTTCCTGGTTCGGGAGTATTGTTTTGGGTGGCTGAGCTGTGGGTTTGTGTAAACGTGTCTATTTGTCTAGACAAAGCAAGTTGACCTCGGTAGGTGGGGGGAAGATTGACAGGCAGAATGACAAAAGGTTAGACACAGGAAATGGGGTGAACTTCAAGATCCAAATAGCTTCCCTAAAGTCTAAAATCTCTGATTTCTTGCTTTATCAAAAAGTAATTTGGAGAGCTTTTACAGTGGTGCAATAGGAAGATGCCTACGCTTTATGTTGAATTCAGGAGTTGAATTTGACGCAAACTGAACCTATCATGATATTAGAGTTGCTCCGCTACGCATTACGTAGAATCTATACGGCTGACAGAGCAATCCATATAGCCCACCCTCCTTTAGTCACGGAACGGGAACCGTTCTTTTCAGACTTCACCTTAGCTTCCACCCTTATTACCCTCAAAGGTTAATTGGAATAACTTTTGAAGTTGCGAAAATATTTCATCATGTTAGGGTTAATGAGTTTGTACTTGTAAAATCCCAATAATTTCACAAGTAGACGTACTCTTAAGCTGAAATGCCACTTGTAAAAATGATATTTCAGTTGTACAATCTATCAAGATATCATTTTTAAGTTGCGACCGGGGTTTTTTTAAAAGTTAATTTAACCCCAAAGTTTGGAAAAGTGATTTTGGTTGATCATATTCCCGTTTTGTATTACTTTAAATGGGGTACCATATGATTGCCAATTATATACATTGTACAAAACACAATGCAATCTTACAATTTACAGTAACAAATATTCCATTAATTGATAAATAGATCGAAGTAAAATCCAAAGGAATTTACCGATTTTGTTTGAAATGTCCATTTCAACAGTTATTGGGAAAATTGTCAATATTTATTGGAACATGCCATTGGGGAAATGGTTATGTTATGGAATTTTCAGAAGGACCTAATAAAAATACATCATATTGCATATGAACTGTCAGGTCCATACACTGCACAGCTCCATACATAATTCCCAAGACGCGTACGTTATAAACTCATGAGGTTATGGACTTTGCAATAACTGACACGGGGTCACGCCAGGGACAATGGATCCATGCAGCAGCCCCGTCTGTAGTAACCGGGTCCGACATGAGCTACGGGATCCGCTCGGTAACCCGCGCGGCGGCAACATCAGTCAGAACTAGCGGCGGGTCACGCAGGGTTAAAGGTCACGGGCGAGGTCAGTCACTCATGGAACGCTCACCCCAGTTTCAAGGACACCCACGAGGTGATGATAGTGGCGGTGGTTATGATTGATTATTTAGTAGAGAATTTTCGGACAGCTTTGCTCACGTATCAATGAAGCGGCCATCAATCAGGTGCTGGCGGCCATGTTGGTGTCCTTGATTTGCATGTCAAAGGTACATAGCCCAGGAGTATACAACAACGCTGTGTTGTATTGGCAGTTCCTCTTCACATTTTCTTCTGGTATTCTCTTCCTTGAGTTGCAGAGGGCCATAAAGTCTTTAAATGACTGAAAGCGTTTTCAACTATGATCCACTGAAATGCAAATATGGACGCCAACATGGCGGCGGACACAGCAATGAAGTCATGTGAAACCGCTCTTATTGCATAATTAGTGTCTTAGAGAACAAGTGCTATGTTATTGTGGATGTAATTTAACAAGTACAAGATTACATCAATTTTAATATAATTTCTTGCTGGATGGTCACTGATTTTGTAAGTTATACTCATATTTCTTTTATATTTGCAATGATAATACACGACTTGCTCTCAATCCACGTGAACTTTAAAGTCCGCTAGAATGCCAATCGATCAGATCTGACCTCTGGGTACATGTAACAACAGATAATGTCTTCTGATATACCAATGGTAACGGTGGCAGAGACGGAGATGCATTTGGCAAAGAAGTAAAGCCTCAAATTACTAACATTAGTACCGGTAAATGATGGACCTATCAAACTCATAGACAGTCCGTCTCCTAGCGTTAAGGCGAGGTCACATCCACCCTCGGTCTTCGTACGATTTTGATGTCTACCGACAAGAATCTAACTTAAAGACAACCTTTTCGAAAACAATACAATTTTATCCGACACATTGTGGGGTCGTGTGGGGTAGCAGCAGCGTGCTCGACTCGGAACCAAAAGATCTCGGGTTCGAGTCCTGACATGCCACCATCTTGTGCCCTTAAGAAAGGCACTTTACACGACTTTACTCACTTAACTCGAGTGAAAATGAGTATTATCTTGTCCTGTATTCGTCCTCTGCGTTGGTGGCGGCATAAAATAAGTTGATATAACTTGAGTGTGCCGTCACCATGCCTAGTCATGAAATGTTGGAATATTTATTTAAAAAAATTGTGATCTTTTGACGACCGTACGTCTATCGCACGACATACTAGGTTTTTACGGGTAACTAAAAGAGTCCCTCCGCCCCCCTCCCACACTTTGAAGCTCTTCTCCAGACTAATCACCGATCATAGCTGGCCGTTATGCTATAACAGATAATGTTTACTGATGCTGGGGCGATGCCCGCACAGACAGTGATGTATTGAGCAGACTTCTGCCTCCGTAATGACAAACGCCCCTGGTTAACCCCCTGTAGTGCGATATTTCAGCTACTTTTGTTGTCTTGCTCACTTAATCCGTCCACTGGGTTATCGACAGAACAATTTGAATGCGGTTTCATTCAAAGGCTGTGCCTCCAACAGGAGAGCAAAAAATCCCGAAAAAATGCCTACCAGTTAGACTGAAAAAAACGCCCCAGCAGTTCTGAAATAAACTGCTCGGAGACATTTGTTTGAACACTATTAGAAGACAAATGGTAAACCCTTACCATTTGAGATCATCATTCCTTTCTTCAGTTATCCTCTTTTCAAAGATTTTCAACAAAAACACCCCTGCAGTACTGAAATTAAAAGCTAGGAGGCACAAGTCTGCATTCTGAACTGGATATAGATATTCTGTTGAGTGATATTGACAATGTGGAGATTTATCCCATTCAGTTGAATTCAGCCTTGCAGCCAGGGAAAGAGCGAACGCACACAGCACATCCATCAACATACAGCCCTTTGTGCTGCAGTAATATCGACCTTTACCGGTGAGACAGTTGTATCTGGGTGATGTATGTGGCACTTTCCCGTATTAAGTCTCCACTACAGTCAACTGCTAACGACGGGGCTGCCCTTTTACATCCATCCATATTTTCCTACATTTATGAATGTCGGGTGGCTTTCCACATGTAATAAATATGCTCGTACGTACAGTAGGCCAGTGGTGGTTATTTAGTACGCTATGGATCCGTTTGAAAGGTCGGATGTTGTTTGACGCAAGTGTTATCCTTTGGGAGAGATGTAAGGTCTAGCCGGGAACATAAAAATCGGCGGTCACACATGGTATACATGGGTAAAAGTTCATTCATCAACATCTGGCTATTGGCCACACAGACATATATTATGAATGTCTACATCTACAACTAAGAGTGAATTGCTTTGGGACTGTTGGCGGACAAAAGGAGAACGAAATATTTCATGGAGGTATGAGTTCTTCAAACTATTGGAGATTAAACAACTGGCCTGGATACCCGTGGACTATCCAGAACCGAGCCTGAACATGTTTCTGGATAAGGCACGTCTCTGGATACGCGTGGAATATCCAGAACCGAGAATGAACATGGTTCTGGTTAAAACAAGGCTCTGGATAAAGCACGGCTCTGGATATGCGTGTATCCATAGTCGTACCTGGGCATAGTTCTGTATAATTAAAGTACAGATACTCGAATCAAGATCAAGAACTCTATAAAATATCCTTGCCTGTACTATCCTATAAACCATGCCTGAGCATGGTTCTGGATACAACACGGTTCTGGATAAAACAAACCCCACCTGGTGCTATACAGTACGTTGCCGTTAGGATAGATCCTGATGTATCTGTTGTCTGTCGTGATGGTGTGGAATCGTCCGTCCTTCTCGTTCACGAAGAACAGGTCGGGGACCCACATCTTGACCTTGATGTTGGAGTCCAGGTTGATGGTTCTGTTCAGGTCCGAGTAGCTCAGCCGAGGGTCGTTCCACCTTTGCCGGAAATAGATCAGTACCGTGTAGTCCTGCGGATATAGAAAGCAAGTACTGAAGTATAATTGTTTTTGGTAATATGTTTTCTTGTGTACGTATGTACTGGCCTCTACCCGGCTTCAGAGGCGACTGGAAAGAGTAGCCTTTGTATATTGGTGGAGTAACTTCCCTGGCATGATATCTGTCTCAGTGTTGGCTTCTACTCTTTCCAGTTGCCATTGAAGCCTGGTAGAGGCTGATATTTGAATACAGTAAAGTGACAAGAAGGAATGGAAAGATTTGGTTACCGCTGATTAACATTAAGGTCAAGTTAAAAGGCTGACAGGGTGGAAGGGAGTGATGGCTCCACCCACTTACGGTCTGACAGAACAATGTTTATGGTTTATGTCCTACTTAAGACCCTTGAAATTACATCAGACCATCTCTTTGTTTGTGCCAATAAATTCATATAGTACTACACAAAGGTTTGGAAGCTCCGAATTCTTGTTCATTTTTTTAAGCCCGCCTGGTGCATTAGTTTTATCTTGAATTCTTATGGCGTAAATTTGTTACCGCACCAATGAGCAACTTTTCACCTTGACGAAAATTAAACGTTAGACCTACGACCCAGAGAAAATTCTATATCATAGTTTTTGCGTCCATATTTTCATTTTTAATAGAGTTAATCACTGTTGCTCTCCCTTGAGTGGTCTCGTAACTTTCTGTCATTAACACGACCTGCCACAGTACATCAATCAGAGACATATAAGTGACAATCTTTGCTTAACACAACGCAAATAAAAAGTTGATAAAAGCAATAAACATTGCAGTCGAAAGGGCAAATTTGTATGTAAATACCTTTTTATGATCGGTAGGTACTACCTGGGGAATGGCACACCTATCATCAGTTTTCATTGGTATATTTTATGCCTTAAAGACTTAAGTAGAAAGGACAACCCTATAAATTTAAAAGAAGTCAGAATACGGTACACTTCTGGTGGAAGATGCCAGGAGCACAAAAGTCTAAGAGAGAAACTTTGTAGGCTGAGAGGCTAGAAATGCTGTCTAAAGTTAAAACTTTAGATATAACACAATAAAGTTCTCTGAAACCCTAGATATCTGTTATAAATACATCAGAACAAAGTTCATTTAAGGTGAGCATTGCCAACAAAGTGTTCTAATTCCAAGAGATTTCTTACTTCATTTCCTTACTTTAATGTGTGTAACGAACAATGCAGTTCCAGAAAGGGCACATCCCTGTGCAAACATGTCTCACCATAATGTATAAGTTTATAAGATGGATTGGGAATAAAACATCACCAGTTGACCTATTCAACTTCTTTTATTGATGACTCTCATACACACCTGAGAGCACTTTGCTAAAGGGTGGATCTATAAATGTTTTCCAGGTCAGAGAATGCAGTACATTTTAGACGAGAGATGCCAAGAGGAAGACTCTTTTTTTTCTTTAAGTTATGCATATGTACAAAAGTTATGCATATGTACAAACTTACTGGTACAATGGCTAAGTCGTTAGAGTGCTCGCCTGGCATTCGGTAGGTCGTGAGTTCTATCCCCGGTCGAGTCATACCAAAGACTTAACAAATGGTACAGACTGGTTTCTCTGCTTAACACTCTGAGTATCAGCATTTGAGAGAGTATGGAAGTTAAACGCACACCACTACCAGTGAACTGACCCCCTGCTGTAGTGATTGCACAAATGTGTGGCCCAAGGGCTAAGAAACAGAGATCGGCGCCGCTATACACGACCATGCTTATGGTTTCGGGGAGAAGTTTAACTTTAACTAACTTACCATTTTCTTTTCCTCCACGGAGTCGAATCCGCTGACGAAGACGTTACAGTTGACATTGACGGGTTTTCCTGCAGTAACGAACAGATTAGAACCGGTAATAAGACTCGTGCGCTCATGCATACATTAATACACACATAAAATACCATGTATATACATCAATCCATCCAGGAACCAAGTGAAATACCACCACGTCTGCATTAATAAAAACTTCATACGTGTAAGTCACGTTTTCCCAGCCAGTAGCGGTTCTGGTAATAATTAGATTAGTGTTGGTATGAATAGTTTATGGGTACTGAGCGGTTGGCTGGCCAAGTGATTTTTATGATAAGCTGGTGATTAGCGGTACTACTTAATCGATTTGTGTGGATTTGTCTCTGGTAACAACATTACACGGTCTTACGTTTACCTTGGAGCGTTAACGGTTTTATAGTCGGTCTCATAAATAAAACTTACTTTGACTTTGGAAGGACACAAAGTATTCATAAGTTTTCTAAAACTTCTAAATACCTTTCGTCCTTCCAAAGTCAAAGTTTGAAGTCGAAGTTAAAAGTGGCTACCTCTGTATTATGCGTTCACACCTTTAAACCTGGAAGAGCTTGTTTGCTATTGAGCAAGTATCACATGGATCTATTGGGCACGCTCCACTTCATTCTTACTCCCTTTAGCTTTGCTTCCTGGGAAGCAATTTTGCTTTTCCGTGAATTTGTTTAAGTTATTGGCCGATTTGGGACTAATCCCAATACGTGGGGCATTCCGGATGCCATATTTAGTTACAGTGCCCTACTTACTGGTTATGATATATTAAGATATATGTATCAAGATGCAATATCGTATCGTATTTCATTTTGCAAGTATCACATGGATCTATCGGGTACGCTCTACTTCATTCTTACTCCCTCTAGCTTTGTTTCGTGGAAAGTCCTTGTGCTTTTCCGGGGAATTTGTTAAAGACTAATCCCAAGACCGGATGCCATAGCTCGTTACAGTGTCCTATAGTTACTTGTTAGAATATAATAAGATGATATCGTGTTTTGTTATTGAGCAAGTATCACATGGATCTATTGGGTACGCTCCACTACATTCTTACTCCCTCTAGCTTTTTTTCCTGGAAAGTACTTTGCCTATTCTTGGAATTTGATGCTAAGCACACGACCTGTGGCAATTTGGCTGCCATATCTCGTTACGCTGCCCTAGTTCCCTCTGACGATACTCTGGGAGATACTGTTAAACGATAACAAGGAGTGATAACGTTTTCTAACGGCGTGTAGGACTTGCCCGGCTTTTGTGTGATACGATCTACCACTTTGTTAGTCGTTCCGGTCTTTTAGAAACTTACTTCTAATCTGCATATTTCAGGTCAAAAAGAGATCGGTATCTAGAAATATTTGTTAAGACCTCGAAAAGAAAGACGCGTAATTCCGTGAAATATTGGAAGTTTGCGACGTTTTTCTACGATTAATAGCTGGATTTCAGTGCATCTCTTAATACTTTATTTGTTCCTGTACTTGGATGAATCGTATACAGACAAATGTTAATCTAGGATAAACATTCGTCACTACCGACTGAACAGTGCAGCAGCTTTGGCAAGATTTCAAAAAAGGAAGACTCCCAATCTTGTAATGAATTGGGTTTTACATCGTTGGTTTATGATGCATTCAGTACATGATTGACTGTCAGTGGTTCTTTCTATACATGGATCATATAGAGACAGATGTTCGTTTAAAATACGACCAGCATCGTAAGTCGGCAGTGCGGCAGTTCATAACGTCGTTCTTTGATAAAGAGGCGGCTTTTCACACAGCTGTAGTCAGGCCGTTTGTTAGTGTCTATCCGTGAACCGTGTGCTGAAACAAATGGACGTCTTGTTGAACAGATGCCGAGCGTAGGTATATCACTATATGCCGTACGTAAAGTGTACGGTGGGGTTGTGTGGCGTAACGGAGGAGCATTTGGCTCCAAGAGGTCCTGGGTTCGAATCCTGCCATGTCACCAACCTTGTGTCCTTGGGAAACGCACTTTATAGAACTTTCCTCACTACACTCAGGTGTTAATGAGTATGTCAGAATGATCATTATCATGATTGTGGGCATTAAAAGAAGAACCCGAATAAAGACCTGTTTTACAGGTTTGCGGTTTGCTAATCATATTTTCATAATTACAAAGACTGTTACATTCAGATAAACAAACACAATCCACCAACAAAAGCATATTTGGGTCATTATAAAAAATCCATTAGCTGTCCAGGACAACATTCAGGATTCGAACCCCTGACCACTGAACAGTACACGAGGTCAATGAACTTTCATGTCCACCCGATAGCACAAATGTCCAGGCGTGTCAAACTATATCGATCTCTCACATATCCTGGCTGAAGGATCGGTAGTTTTTGTATAAACGACTTCCGATCATACATCGATTTTTACTTGCAGTAAAACGGGGAACCATTTTGCCAGAAGGCGTCGTATTTCATATTTCTGACGCTCGAACTTAGATCAATAGAAATGTGGTAAAATTGCTCTGTATTTTCGTGTTCTTGTCATTACATTATGTATGATTTCTTTATAACAACTTCCAGTTTTTGTGGATGGTTGAAATCGCACATGTTTACTTATACACATCCAAGGCGTCAGGCATTTCACATTTCATTGAAAAGAAATATATCCAAATAATAATTGTTTAAGAGGTAGTGCTAGCTGAGGATGTTCAATTAACATTATGTTGGAATTTATTGTTTACTATACCTTCATTATTTGTGACGAGCAAAGGTTCAAAGTTTTTGAAAGTCTATATCACCCCCCCGTCCCGGTTGATAGAAAGTTGGTTGTGGCACGTTTTAATACTTGTATAGTTTTCTGTGCTATTTCTGTCTGTACGTATGTAACAGAACATCCCTTGTGAATGTATGGTATCGAACAGTTCGATTAGCCTATTCCCACCCAGGCTGAAGACAAATCTACATGACAACTCCACCTCCTGTATACAGCTGGGTATAAACCCACCCAGGCTTTTAATAGATCATTAAGAAACAAAATCAATACAGGCGGTCAGATCGCACTGAACACGAGATAAAACTTACAAATACGTCCGCTAGCTTCGAACTAGATAAAAGCACGTCACATGATAAAATGGGACTTGAAAATAAAGAATAAAGGGCAGGTACGCTAGTGACTGGTGGGTTGTTCGGTGTGGTGTGGTAAAAACTTTCAGCAATGGCTGAAAAAAAGATTGGTCTATGGTCTCGTTATTTTAATGGGGGTGGGTGGGGTGGCTAGTTTGTGTAATACAAACTCTCAATGTCCCAGGGTTCTACGGAGCCCCTATCTAGTGGCTTGACCAGTGGGAAGACTGCTAGAAGCATGATTTACCGTCACAACCCGTGTGTTACGTCACATTACATTAGTAGGGTTTCGCACTGTATGTTACGTTGTGACAGCCATTTCGTCACCCACTGTATTTACATCCCCTAAGACAAAATCTCTAGGGGAGTGAAATCGCTGGAACACCGGCCAAATTCTTGCACACGTCAATAAATATTCATTCATTCATTCATTCATTCATTCATTCATTTATTCATTCATTCATTCATTCATTCATTCATTCATTCATTCATTCATTCAATCATTCATTCATTCATTCGTAATCATTATGGTATGATAGGGATTTTCCAACCGCCGTACTCTTATATACACTTGTTCGTATCCATTTGCATTTATAATGCACGATACGCAAGGGTAGGAACGCTAGAATATCACCTCCCTGGAGACGACAGATGTCCTTATGTAACGTGTAAATTGTTGAAGACGAATTGCCCTAGATGACGTTTTTGTCTTTGTTCTGAGATGACACGAAAATCTTTACAGTCAGACATGACTGGGAATCATTCTAGATTCATTTCTCTCCCTGTAATCAGAAATTCAATAGCTTGTTAACGGGATTTTGTGACCCGCCAATATAACTGTAAAAGGAGAGAAAAATCCATAGAAACGAAGAGCCCTTCCTCCAAATACCAATTGACCTGGTTTAGTGTTACATCTGCGGTGCAAAGTAACACCATTCCTCTGTGTAGGCTCCTCGGTTAAGGTTGTTTTTCGAAATTAAAAGGACAATTAGCAGGTATTTCTAGCATTGCAACGCCTGTACAGTTTGCTGCACTACTAGAATGATGTACAAGATGTTGCGTACAAAAGAAAAGTTGTAAAACGCTGAAAATTAGCCAACTTCTTACATCTGCTTAAAGATTCAGCCTACCCTACGATAGCTACCCTCTAAGCAGAGGTTGATGGGGAAAGATCTTTACCTATTCATATATGCCCTGTTTTTGTCGCTACTCCCACCAACAGAAAACAACGGGACAAAGAAGTCAAACCCCGTAGTTTTACCAGTATTTTTTTTAGTTATCAGTAGTTCTCTGTGTATTAATTGCCTGTTCTTATATCAAATCATTCTTCCTTTCTTGCAATTAGCCGTCGGGCATGGATTTTCAATAAAAAAAATATATATATACAAACAAAGGTAACGATCCTCCCCCATCAACCTCTGCTTGGAGAGTAACGATAGCGTCCTTTTATCTGGAACACTGCTGTAGATTAGATCAGAGAAGTGTCCCAGATTTATCTACATGAAAGCCGCATATTAACGCCGCTTGGACGGCTCCAGCTGCAGTAATACACCCGCCGACGACCCAGTGGACACATCCGACTGTAAGACTTAACCTCAATCGTTGGTCTGAGAGACTCAGAGTAGCCTTTACGCACAGGAGAAAAATGGATATCACTATTAAAACATCCTCAACCCGGGAAAACAATCAAAACAAGCAATCAAATCATGTCGTTCTTAATGCCCACTGGTACCGGAGGACATAAGTCTTTTTAAGAGCTTCTCTCCAGACGAAGATTTGTTTCCATTTATGTTCTCCCGGTAGGTATAGGAAATAAATTTATAGTTTATGTTTGTTAACTTCAAAAGTTGAAGCGTGAATTTATTATTTCCGTCGTAATTGGTCACAAATTTTGTAGATTAGTTTTTATCCCTCCCCCGCGTTTCTCTGCGTTGCACTTTGGTTTTATGACCAATTTTTCAGGCGAAAATCGTAAAACCAAATGTCAGAATGTTGCAACTTTAACCTATGACCTACCGTAACCCGATACCCGGTTAGTGAAGCGCTACGGGAGGCGTGGCCTACCCTACATGTAGCAATTTTCCACTGCGCTGGTCGAATGAATTGCAGTTTGCAGGTTTCCAAAATACAGATTTGCGACACCCATATTTCATCGTATATTACCAACAGACCATAACCAATTTCAAAAGAAAATTGGCAGAAAAAAAAAGAGAAAATTACCGAGGAACGCCATTTCGCAATGCAGTGATCGTTACAACCAAAATGACATTTTTATCACCACCCTTTGGCCTTTCCATCAAATTTACAGTCGGAAAAAACTTGGCCTTTCTGTTCAACGTTTGTTTCATCAAATCAGCGATGCTAGCGCTATCTGGCATCACTGGAAAGTATGATATTAAATTTTCACACGAGACCAACTTTAAATTACAGCATTACGAACTCCCATCAGATGTCACCTTTGAAGTTTCCATTTTTGATATATGTTGGCTGCCACATTTGCAGCTATTTCAGGACGTGGTAGACGCTTTAATTGGACCCTAGCTTTCTCGCCGTTCGATTTGTGTCAGTCTGTGTGACTGTATGTGTACATCAACGACAAGAAGAGATATAGCTTCAATTTGTTGGTTAATAATGGATCTAGATTAGCTGAAACGAGAATTCTCAGACTAACCGTTAGGCAGAATTTACTGCGAAATGCCAAATACTTTCCTACTCTGTATCTGCATCGGTAGAGCCGGTATAACCGCCCTTCGGCGTTGCACACCATCTTCGCTGGCACGCGGCGCGGCGGCAGCAGGCTACATTACAGCAAACGACGTGTCACACCTAACCCTTGAACATCTAACTCTAAACATTGCTTAAAGCTATCTAATGATAATGCCCCTGCTGTACTTGCTGAGAGCGAGTTCCACAGTACCCGACCCGGCAGTAGGCAGGCTAGTCTGGTAACCATACCATCGGAAGCTCCCCGGAATCTCTACGGCGCTAGATCATGCCCAGACCCATTTCAGAATGTCGGGGTTGTTTGCAGTTTACTCGATTTACCAGAAAGGCAGGTTGGAAAGATAGACTGCCAGAAAAGAAGGGCCTATGTTCAGACATGACTACGGCCTTTGAAACACCCCTAAGCCGGCCCGTAGAGAATGTTCACCGCGCTAAGGGCAGTACAATAGCTTAGTGTACGTGGGTAGAATTTGTATTCGGAAGATAGAGTGAAATAAAAAAAAAGTTTTCAGCTCAGAAGATTGAAAAAAAAAACAATCAGCGCCCAATTGAAGGTGCTCGTGTGAAAAACACACCACCACGAAACACAGTTATTGCCTGATGAAAAAAATCCCAGTGCAATCCGGAGCCGGTATTTCCAAAAAAGCAATCAACACGAAAGCAAACCTTCTAAAACAATCAACGCGACGCTGCAGCCAGCCATGTGAAACAAAACACCATCGCGAGAAACAGTTACGGCGTGATGACGGAATTTGGGTGTAATCTGGAGCCCGTTATGACAGGGAGGAATGGGAGCGTGTCCAATATGTCAGGGTTTGTCACACGCATTAAGGTCAGGCTGCCACGCGTCGCCGTCAGAACAGTGATAATGTAGCGGCACTGGTGGGGAAACGTGCACGGAATGAAAAAAAAAAAAAAGAAGGAAGGGACGTTGTTCCCAAAGAACGCCAATTCACTATAATGTATCCAGAACCGTGTCTATCTAGTTCTATGTCTAAATGGTTTATGGTTTGGATCAGGAACGGTTCTGGATAGTCTCTGCGTATCCAAAAACGTAGATTTTCCCACAGGCAAGCGGTTCAAGATACCGTGGATTATCCAGAACTGTGCTTGGGCATGGTTCTGGAAAAGGGCGGTCCTGGATTCAAGAGCTACAGGCAAATACAAGCTGCAAATAAGTAAATGTTAAATTTGTTTCCAACATAGCCGAATTTTCGACGGTCTTCAGGATACCTTGAATCTACATACGTCACTTTCCGCACCTGTGGCGTGAGGAAACGGGTCAAAGGTAGTTGGTAGTTCGTAGCAGCTCCCGTCTCGGTTCAGTGAGTTGCAAATAGATCCCGATAGTTGGTTTGGATACGCCGGTGCCGGTAAAGTCTTATATAAGCTTGTTGTTAACATTGATGACATTTTCTTTCGCACTAGGGAGTACGTAAATTTACATCACTTTAAATAATAATTATAATGGTACATGCCAGCTGTTATACAACCGATTTTGTCTGATTGTCCGATTTTCTACATCTGTCAACTTATTCACATTTGCCCCGCCATTACCCAACCGTCTGATTGCCCACATTCCTCAGAACATCACGTCAATACGCCGTTTGCGCGGCAATACACTTCATCCATCAGACTACCAAAAACGCCCACCCACCGGCCGGGTCCAGAACCAAACTCACACCACTTGTTTCTGGCATGAAAAGCTACCAGCCACCAAAAAATCAAGTTCTGCTGCAGTACCAAAGTCTTTTCAACATTTGTCAACTTATTCACATGTGCCCCATCATTACCCAACCGCCCGACCGCCCACATCCATCAGCCTGTCTCCAAAGCCCACCGGGTCTGCCTGAGTTCTTGTACCACCTGCCTTCTGCCATCTAAAACTCCCAACATAGTGAATAGGCAGAAATTTTGATTTCTCCCTCTTTTGCGCCCTTCTTGTGATTTTCTACCTCCATGCTTGTACAACTGTCGAGCAATAAAGTTCATCCATCAGACTGTCTCCAAAGCCCACCGGGTCTGCCTGAGTTCTTGTACCACCTGCCTTCGGCGCGTTAGTGACTCCCAGACCGCCCGGAAGTGCCGGGCTCTAAATCCCTTCATTTCACGCCCATTGACTTCATGGAGTGATGAAGTTCTCCCCTGTTGCCTCACATGTCTGGGAAGCTATAATGACTGACCCCCTGCGGTTTTGTAGCGTGGCTTGCCATCAAACTTCATAGATTGTGCTCTATGTAGAATCTAATACGCTATAACTGTACACAAAGTAAAGTGCTTACCAACAAAATTTAGCTCAGTCTTGGACCAATTTCAAGATTAAAAAAGTTTATTGCAAATCCTTGCCCGAAGACTACTTGCAAGTTAGGAACATAAAAGAACTCTGAAACAGAGTATAAAATAACTTCAAAATGTGCAAAATGAAATCTGATTGTCTAAGACTATGTCTGAAGGGTTTGACTTCTCTTTTGGAGGACGTAATGTCCCACTTTTTTTTATTTTTAAATGACCCATAGCCTGAGTGACGAGGAAGTGTGACGTCAGCGGGTCAAAGGTGCCAAGCAGTCTGTATCGGCCCCCGTCTCAGATTTAAGAAGGCCCCAGTCTTTAACCAAAAAGTGGCCGAAAGCCGTTGGTAGGCACTTGACTCTTTTGTACGCTTATAAGTTTCATTCTTGCTTAATCGTATTATATGCGCATAACCTGACTTGACTGATTGTTAATCTCCTTTTGGTAATTATCTCAGTGTTGAGTGGTGGATTACATGCCTATTACCAGGTAATCCTGTGTGTTAAATTACTGGTAAATGTTGTAAATGTTGTAAGTTAATTATGTCGCGGGCCATTTTGGCTGATGATAAAATCACGGGGTAATTTCTGTAACGAGGATGACAAGGGAGATACAGTGCGCACGTTGACAACTCGCTAAATGTGCTTAATTTGCTTAATTGCCAGTAATACATTTTGCCGTGATCATATTTGTGCAAAGTTGCAAATCTCCCAGTACTAGATCGTTCTTTGCCTTGGATTACATTTAATTTGATCACATCACTCAGTCTACTTTCGGACCAGAATCAATGTCTATAGATTCGACTATGTAGCTTACCGATGAGAGTAATGCATAACACAACATGTAGTCGTATAATTATTACACTTGATCTACGATGTATTGACATGCAAATCAATGACACCAGTCAGCACGGGTGCCCTCTTTCTCCTTTTTTTAGTTTTTGTACAGCGTATGCACACCAGGGGCAAATCATGCACTGGTTCATTGGTATGAAAAGTGTAAAAACTCAGTTTTTTTGTTGGTATGAAAAGTGTGAAAACTCACTATCATCGTTGGCATGAAAAGGATGAAAACTCTCTATTTTTGTTGCTATAAAAAGTGTGAAAACTAACTATCTTCGTTGGCATGAAAAGTGTGAAAACTCACTACACTACAGGGCTGCTGTCCTCTTTTTACGACCGTTGAGGGAATCGCATCAGAAGTTTCTTATCAGTAGTAGAACTAGCATGCCGCATGGCCAAACGATTTCTCCGCCAATAACTATAACTGTGACAGGGCGTACGCGCATCGCGGGAGCCGTTATATCATATCTAAAGTGATACGGCGGCGTCTCTGGGGGGCCGTTATACACCATAAAGTTGCTGCTGCCGGGAATTTACGTGAGCGAACGTGACAGAGCGGTGCTCAATGCGCATGCCGACTCATTCAAGAAGCCTCTGGGTAGTTACAGAAGTAGGAAAGACAGTCTTTATATTTGAGCAATGAACTTGAAGACGTTATATGAATGAGCCTTCTCAGTGGACGCATTGCCGAAGGAGAAAATTAAGATATCCTTACATTTGACCGGTGAACTTGAAGATTGAATGAACCATTTCAGTCGACTCATTGTCGAAGGAAAAATATCTTTACATCTGAGCAGTGAACTGAGCGATGGAATTATGAATGAACCTTCTGCCTGAATGCGAAGATATAAGTGGGTTAGTTGGCTGGGAGCCAATGTCAAACTTACCGTTGAAGTTGGGCCTCAAGATGCCTTCGGAAACTCCCAGGAGAGACTGAAGGACTGCAGTGTGGTTGTGCTCATCAGGATCGGTCGTGCTTGCTGCTGATGTTCTGCAAGTAATAGAAAAAATGTAGAAATAACAGGAATTCTTCAAAGTTAGAATCACTCTGAGCATTAATATAACATGGCAGGAATTCTTCGAAAAGGCAGAGGACATTTTATCAAACCATGCCACATTGGTGGCTGTATTAAATGCAATTAGGATAAAATGATTCAAGAAGTAGTTGCTTCACACAGACTCAAAGCTGTGTCAATTACTGACAGAGTTTTTCTTCAAATTATCGTCACTTTAAAGCGCCTTATTTAAGCGGCGAGTTTCTCACGTTCAAATCCAGCAAAACATGAATACCAACAAAAGAGGTCGATTCTGGTCATCCACACCTTGAAGCAACACACGTAAAACTTCATTTCTTGTGATCAATTTCTTTAATCTTTATCCTGTTTTGTGTCTTTAAATTCTTCTCTTTGCATTCTTCCAGTGGTGACTTCAATATGGGCATCAGCGCGTGGGTACTTGGGAGATGGCTCGCCTTTGAATTTGCTGGTCTAACCGGAACCGGTCTGCTGGGTGACGAAACGGTTCCTCCTCACGTCTGTGGCAGGTGCTGAGCCAATTAGGAAGCCTCCCGATTTATCAGCCCGTCCGACAGCAGCATGCCAGGGCACGTGAGCCGCTGATTGGCGAGGAGGCAAAGCCAAGTTCAGATCAATATTTCGTGCCTTTGAACTCCAAGTGCCTCCTGCGCCCAAATCAAGGCACTCCTCCGGGAGGACAACATTCATTTTCCCGCGGAGCAATGCAATCAGAAAGCTGATATTTTTCGTCGAGGTTGGTAGCTGTACATGGTCCGGTGGGATCTCACTACAGCTGAGAACACGACTTGTAATTTTGTTGGGAGTGTGAAAGTTTGGCTTATCTTGGCTAAGATCCACAGTCTGTAATGAATTCCCGAGTTTGCGATCGAACGACAATCGTGCGACGAATGTTATTGGGTCCTTATCAAGGACCCTACCACATCTGTCTTAGTTACGATCTCAAACAAAGGAACGCTCGTCCAAACTTCAGCTGTCTACAGTTATCTGAAAAAGTTATCTTAGATCTTTGTCAGCGGCTGGTTATGGCACAGCCTGCTTGTAAGTTCTACGACATCCGGATCGTATGATGGCCAACAATAAATGTGGCCGCGCCATGATTTTTTTCGTTTTTTTTTTCGCATACGCATACACTTACGTAGAGTTCAGTTGCACGATAGTAAACTTTTGCGAACTAACTTATAAGTACAACAGAAAACTAATTTTTCGCCGACTTGGAGCCACTCAATACACACACACGCTGCAAATGGGTTCTGAGCGGTGTCATTCTTGGCTAGTCGCCATCTTCATGATCACACTTTCCGCAGCCCACCGTAGCGTAACACAGGCCACTTCGACGCCGTGGTCTGGTGCCAACAACCTCACTTCTGGCCTATGGCGAAGAGCCTATTCTCGGGGTTAGGTAAAGATTGGACAAACTTGCTAGAAAAATGGCAATATTGCCAGAAAACATCGCCCCAACACCTGTGAGATTATAGTAAAAGAGTGCACAACACAGACCGCTTAGACGTTGTGGTCTCGTGCCAACAATCTCACTTCTGGCCTATGCCGAAGAGTCTATTCTCAAATATTTGAAAAACTCGTCAGAAAAAATGGTGATACAGCAAGAAAACATCGACCCAACACCTGTGAGATTATATTAAAAGAGTGCACCTGAAAAAAATTTAAGCGATGGAGACAGCCAGTGTCTACACCATTATGCAGCAAACTGGTACTGTAAATACTTTACTCGTGTGTCACGCTGATAGGCAATTTATATGCGGACTTTGTCTGGTAACTAACACCTGCAGTCCACTCTGCTCTGAATGGACGCTAATGGACTCGCACACTCAGCACTAATAACCTGTACGGTCTGTAACGTTAACAACCTCTTACACCGGACTTTTTGCTTTACTCGGAAGCTAAATCATGACTGGCAGTAGAGATAGTGTTTATTAGTGGCGATGTCCGTGACTAGAATTCACACATTACATCAAGGGTGTCAATGCAGATGTGGGTGCTGCAAGGACACTGTGAAGTTCGCTGCCGTGAAGTTTGTAACTGTATTCTGCTACCTTTGGTAAGAGTTTATATGTACGTCCCCTGTCACAGACTTTGTTATTAATATGCATGATGATTAATACATATCATCACATTGATATGATGATGATTATCATATCATATATCATATAATATCATCATTTTGATATGATGATGATTAATATGCATCTCTACTGCCAGTCATGATGTAGCATCTGAGTAAAAATATACTTTGATGTTTTTAGATGTGTTTGTGTATGTCATGTTGTATTTTTTCAAAAAACACCTGGCGAAGAAGATCTGAAAAGAGCAAATATAACCTGGAAAGAGGCTGAGGAGGCAGCAGCCGCTAGACCAAGATGGAAGCTTGATGCCCCATGTGCCTAAGGTCTAAGGTAAAAGGGTCATGTTATGTGTCTGTATACTATAGGCCTTCGAGCCTGAAATAAACAGTAAACATAAACTATCATCCTCTCATGCCGGCTCACTGCATGTGCACTTCAAGTAACGATCCCACCTACTGCGGTCTTCACCATGCGTTAGCTCAGGCCAGACATCAGCCAATCAGCTACTCTCCCTCATTTTGTTAGAGAGAAACTTACCTGCGTATCATGTTGATCGTAATAATGTTTTTCTGAACATAAAACGTTTTGTACGTAAGCCTCAAGTTGATGCACCCATTACAAGATTTCATGTACATTTTTATGTACCCATTTACATTTTTAAGTACCACACAGACAAGCGGTAAAAGGTTTATCGGAAGTGGCTTTCCTGAACCCCTGAAATATGCTGGGCTTCCAAAATGATTTCTTTGAATGTCAGTGACAGACATCAGGCTTACAGTAATGTACATTTCGTGCATATTGCCATAAACGTTAACCCCAGGCCTGAGCTTAAATGGCAGCTGCATTTATGGTGGGAAAATCTTCCCAAAGCTCGCTTAACTGCCCGTAGAACGTCCGTCACTTAAACGTCGTTCATTTGTCCAGAATCAGGATCTCAAATGTTGATGTCCACATTTCAGTAATCCCGGCCCTAAATGAAATACCAATAACTGCCGCTGCGATCGGGCTCCCTTCATATTGGATAGATATGCTTGAAAGCGCTTCGGTATTAAAAACAGCGGGGCTCTGTCATTAATGTGGGAAACGGAAGACTGAGCCCCTGACAAATTGTAACGGTTTCATGAGGTCGAAAGCGTTTTGATTGCAATGCTAGTATTTGTTATTTCGTGCAATCACCGTTACCGAAGCTTCTTTAGTCATAGTATCATCATTTACCTTTACAAGGTAAGATCCTATCAATCAGATACTAGTAGTGTAAGGCCATACGGAACAGTGAGTACCTGAGAGTTGGTAGCGGTTTCATGCGAGTGTTATAATATAGCTTTATAGAGATAGCTTTAAACAATGTCTATGGTTATTATGTTCAAGGGTTAGGTGTAACAAGTCAATCGGTGTAATGTAGCCAGCTGCTGCCGCGCCGCCGTGCC